TTGGGCGGAAACCGCTCAAGCCTCTTATACGGCTAGCAGGCCAATCGTTAGCCGCCACGTGGGAATAATTTAGGACTAGCCAATAGCAGGACACACATTTGCATGCAGGTGGCGGGAACTCTTTTGCACCGTGCATTTCTCTTGCAACTTGAGCAATGCACCCTGCAAAAGAAGCTGCAAATAGGCGGGAAACTCGTCCCTGCACCGGAGTTTTCCTCCGCAGCAGAAAACTCCACCATGCAATGAAGCTGCAACCTGGTGGGGATAATTCTTGTGCCAAAGCACACACAAAATCATACCTTTGGGTTATGACATCCAGATGCATTGATTTGAGTGTTCCTGGATACTGTATGCAAAAACAGCTAAGTTGATAAACACATATACAATATGAATTCCTAAAATGTGGGAAAGTGATTAGAAAACATTACTTCCAAGGAGAGAGTATTTTAGACCTATGACATTGGGAAGGGATTCATTTAATGCTCACGTCCATACATTTCAATGTCCAGAATCTACAGGACACTACAATAAAGACTTACTCATCTTCTGAGTAGGAAGAAGGAAGCTAAATTAGGCTTTAAAAGTATCTGGTACCATAGGACTCTGCCTTAGAGTAACCACAGCAGCCAAAACCATTGTTTTCAGAAATGATTTTTCACACAGTTAAAAGTCATTAGAAGTTACTGGGTCTCGCAATACAAAAGCATAGTGAGAATTTTCCAGTCTTTCAATTTATCCAGTGAAGACCATCAGATACTAGTAAAAGTTATCAACTGAATTACTTTGGGGGGAAATGAAAGACATTTTCAGTTAGATTGTGACCTCTGTGGATAGTTCATCATAAAAGCTTCTTGCAGTTTGGCCAAGAAATGAATACCAGCACCTCCATTCTTTAAATCTTTTCAAATAGATTTTTAAAAGATGAATGGCATATTTATAATACACATGGTACTACCTGGTCAGATCCATAGGGAAGATTTACGTGAGTTTATATGAGAATTTTCTAGTTGTAAGCCAGAAGTTTTTTTCAAAGACTGGACATTGCATCTTTTCTGTTTCTCTGAGGAGATGCTTCCTATTTCCACACCACTGTTTCCTATTTCCACACCACTATTTGAAAGGAAACAACTAGGCTTATAGAATGGTTTATTATGACACCTTAAGAGTAAGATTGATCATTGAAGGAAGAGGAAATGCAGTATCTACATTTTATCTTATTATATAAGCTGTAGACATGCTATATATAGGTCACTTAACTTTTTGAAACAAGTTTTAGAGTGGGGAGAACTCTTTAAAAGTCTGGATCAGTACACACAAAAAAAATTGGACAGGAAATATCGTTGTATGCTTTCTTTCTACAACGCCACATTTAATTTAGAAAAATGTTAGACTTGTGTATTACAGAAGTATTAAATATGCATGGGAAGATGATTGAAAGACTAGAAAGTCAATCATCACAGACAAAATTCTACCCTTAAACTTGTATATACAATTCCCATGTTCCATATTAGCTTACCTATTATGGTATTATTAAAGGCCATCCAAACAAGTTTTTTTGTGCAATTGACATAAAAAAAAGTGAAGGAATGATGTCTTGGGGCTGAAATCTATGAAACTTGAACTATTATAATGGATTACTAATGTAGGTATATAGGACATGCCAACATGACATACACTATTGTGTTAAGCGCTGTGCTGACAAGTAGGAAGATTTCTGCCGTAAAGAACTTAGAACGTAAATAGGGAATCTCTGGTATTTTCTTATGTCTTGTATCTTTTTTCCCCCTAGAGCATAAGGGCTTCTGGCCTGGTTCTTCTGGAAACCATCCTTTTTGGATCACTCCTCCTGTACTTCCCGGTGAGTTAAGATGCTATTTTGAAAAAGGGTATTACTGATAAAATTCTAAAACCTAACATCAATTGCTTGTGTGACTAATACAGATATCAAAACTGTACATATTAGTTAGACTAACATAACTGTAGCCACTTGCCATTTTATCAATATAGATGTTTAAACAAAATATTTGTGATAATTCCCTTCCAGGTATGGGGAATGCAAAAATGGCAAGATTGCACATTACAACTGATATAAGCAATGATTTTTTAAAATACATAAATATCAAATTTGTGAGGCTGTCTATTGTTTGTTTCCAATTGGGAAAAATATTAATACTGAATTAAGCTCGAATATATCTATTGCTACTGTGGAGTTTGTTACAAAGCTGGGTAGCTACTTAAGTATATTGTTAGCAAGTATTTATTAAATGTTTCTGAAACTGTCCACTGACATCTGGATAACTGGTGTTTGGGAAGATGTGTGGTTGTTATTTTTATATCATAAGTGGGCACAGAGCAATATAAAGTAATGCAGTGGAGAATTCATACTAAGTAGTTCTTTTAACTGGCAATGGGTTTTCTGGAATTTTTTTAAGGGGAAGCAGTAAGGTGTTTTACTTTTATATAGAGTCTTAAGCTTCTGCAAGATGATACAAAACTGAAAGTTGGACGAAGGAGCCTTTTAAATGGCTCTGCTGCCCCCTCATCAGCCTCTGAATTCCCCACGCACCCTCCAGTTGGCCACTCCATCCCCGGATCTCTGCCCTGGTGCCTCTCTCAATTAGCCTGAGAACAGCCACAGCAGTGGTATGGGGGTGAGGGGCATTCCACTCATTGCCTGTTTTCAGGCTCCCTGCAGCTTGTGCCACCTGGATCCAGGCCCCACAGCTGCCTAGCAGCTCCTCTTCCTCTCCCCCACCTCTCTTTCTCTTGCCCCTCCTTGTGTTGAGGGGCCTGGAAGGGGCTGAATCTGGATGCACAGGGCTGGCATGGTCTGCAAGGACCCCAGGAGCAGTCAGGGAGGGGGAACCCTCCCTAAGGGTGCCTCCTTCACTCTTGAGCTGATCAGCGCAGTGATCCAGGGGTTGAGGGGATGATTGTTGTGACAGGGGAGTGATCTGGGGGTAGAGGGGGAAATTCAGGGGGCCGGGGGCCATTTGGGGGGTAGAGGAGGGAGCAGCCCCACAGCTGCCCACCCATCCCACCCACTTCCTCCCTCCTCACTCACCCCATCCCACTACCTGCTTGGCTGTTCCCAGGTGTCAGTCCAGGGCCATAGAATCTTGAATCATAGTTAGTCTACCTAGGAACAGTACCTCCTGGGATACCGGAGGACCACAAATTGGTGGTTTTATTTCGGGTGAATACCCAGAAGTTAACTGCAGCTAGGTAGCACAGCTCAGAGATAATCTTTGCCTGAAGTGGCTTAACTTTAAGATGCTTAGAAGGCATTTAGCACATGGTAATGGGCCTTACTGTGTCATCATTCCAGGTTTAAGTGCTCTTAACATGGTCTAATTGTAATGTGTAATCTCACTCATTCAAAGAGGGCACAGGAGAAGGTTTAGGAAGAGATGGAGGCTGGTATGGGATAATGGATTGGTTTGAACATGGTACTGTTGTAATATAGTTTCCCTGGTAGCCAAAATACTTTTGTTGCTCTACAGAGCACCAACCAGTTAATGAGAAGATGGAAAGCAAAATGCCTTGCCAAACACAAAAACTGCAAATATGTAAAAAGAGGGGTGATGAGTGGCATAATAAATACATTCTCCCTGGAGTTTTTTCTAAATTATTGTTCAAATTGTGTTACTCTTAGATTATAGGGTTAAAATACATGTGTTAATTGCTAGGATACTTTTATTTAACATTTCATCTTTAATTTTGGTTGTTAAGATGTTTTTCAATATTTGTGAATTGCAGATGTCGCCATGAGAAACTACTAGCGAGAGACATGTTAAGGCCAGCCAGATAGGGCATTTTTACATGTGCATGTGCGGGGGAGGCACTTTAATTAGGGAGCGCTTTTAATTAAAAACATCCAAGTGACATGTATATCAGTGAAAATATATATATAAAAGTGAAAGTATATCTGAAAAATGGTGGTGGGGCAGTCTGAATTAAAACTCATTGAACAAGCTTTAGTTTAAAGAGCTCTGCTGCCATTTTTTGGTGTGGGGACACTAATACACGATGCCAGAGTCTGCTGGAGCTTGTTTATTTCTGTGCTTCAAATGACTCAATTAATCGAGTGTGCTCTGACATGTTGGATTTCCCTGTACATGTACAGGAGCTTGACATGCTTGGAACAAAAATATAATCATGGTTTATGTGGTCAGCAAAGGGCCAAAATGGCTCTTATGCAGTCAGAGTGATGGGGAGAGGAAAAGGGAAACAGACATTATTGCGTTTCCTATCACTCAGGGAAAAGGAACATGCCATCCAATCCAAGCACTGGGCAAGATCACAGTGTATAGAGGGCGGGGATATAGGAGGCCCCATGTGAGGTATGACAGAGAGCTTAGTTCCACTCTTGCTTTGCTTTCTTACCAGTTTGCCTGCCCCTGATTCTTCCTGTTTCTTTCTAGCTGTTTGTTCTTGACCTAATTTCTTCTCCCACAGACTTTTGTCTTATGAGGCTATCTGCCTTTGGGGTCACTGTTTGGGTGCTCAGTGTTAGTAGATGTTTATATCCTTGGTAACATAATATATTCTCCATCTGCAGTTGCTTGAAGGTTGATGGATGTGGCCATTGTGGTCCAAGCAGTCACAGCCTCTAGGCTTGTGTAAGGAAAAAACAGGAAGATGTCAAACATTTCTCTCACTTTTTACTAGCATTCAAAATTGGTCTGTTACAGCTGGGACAAAATATAGCAACACATCTTTGGTCACCAAGAATGCATCATCATGGTGTTCTGCTTGCTGTGGTCAAGTTCAGTATCCCTATATCCTGATGTTCAAAGTTTCTATAGGACTGGTCTTTGCCTCTCTCTCTGTAACCAGGCACTCCTATGATGGCTTTATTACAGTAAAACACTGAAACTATCGAAGAGAAAAGAGCCAGGAAAATAATCAGTTTTATGAAAAAAATGTAAGTGGTTTTCATAGTTGTTTAACATTTGGTTTTGTTCTGATGTGACACAAGAATAAGAATCCACAAACTGGAATGTGTTAGGTGTGGTTTAAACAAGGACAGTGGATTCTTATCCCATTATCTGAATTAGCTTTTGTGGCCCTTTTGTTCCTATGGGTTCTTTGCTTGTTTGCCTCTCCCAGCGCTGTCCCTCTCCCCACTTTCTCTCCTTCCTTTTTCCTCCTTTTGTATTCAAATCACTCACTGCACTACACTCTGATCTATGCTGTCCTTTCCTAGCATCAGATGAAGTGAACTCAAGTTCATGAAAGCGTGTACTCTATAAAAATCTTATTTAGTTAATCTACAGTGTGCATATTTATCCAGTCTTCTGCCTGACTTCAGACTAACATAGATAACTACCTCTTTAAACAATAAGACCATTCAAAAACTTTCATGAAATAATGAAAGAGAGAGAGCACACACCCCATTCTAGTATAGGCAATAGCCAAATAGCTCAGATAGTCATCTATGAGGTAGAGACCCAGGTTAATTTCCTGCGTGCCTGATTTGGAGTTGGGATTTGAACCTGGGTCTCAGTCATCTCAAGTGACTGCCCTAACCATCAGACTAACAGTTTCACTCAGTTTCTCTGATTGGAGCTGATCAACATTGTATTACTTAAATATTAATTGGGCCAGAGTTAGTTGCAGTTGTTAGTTGTTGGTGTAGTTGCCTGCATTGTGGGAAACCTAAGCTCAAGTCTTTGCTCTGGGCAGGCATGTCTACATGTGTGCTTTAATGCATTAGCCTATTTTAATGCTCATTAAAGGATTACTAAAAACCATGGGCACTTTTACATGTGCTTCAGGGGTGGGGGGCGGGGGCTCTGAAAGCCACTTTAATTAAAGCACTGCTGTGTCTTGTGTATCAGTGTCCCTATGCTTAAAAATGGTGGCGGGTGCACTTGAACTAAAGCTTGCTCAACAACCTTTAGATACAGAGCACTTGCCGCCATTTTTAAACACTGAGATGCCGATACACAAGATACAGGAGACTGCTGAATTGTGGCAATTGCATCGCTCCAGCAGACTTGATTAATCGAGTCTGCTCTGACGGACTGAGATTCTAGCATGTTGGAGTAGCCTCGGTGCTCGTGTATAGGTGCCTCATGCTATTTAGTTAGTGTGCATTAAAATAGGCTAATGCATATTAAAATTGTGCTCTTTAGTTAATGTCTATTAAGACAGGCTAATGTGCATTTTCCTAGTACCTCACAACAGAGAGCTTCTGTACGTGTGCAGGAAGGCTGCTCCAACCCTCTGAATTCCAGCACACTGGAGCGGGCTCCATTAATTGAGTCTGCTGGAATGTGGAAATTAACATGCTTTAGCAATGTCCTGCATCACGTGTTTCAGCATCCCTGCACTGAACAGTGGTGGTAGGGCGCTTTACATGAAAGCTGGTTTGATGAGTTTTAGTTCAAAGTGCCCCACCACCATTTTTCAGCACAGAGATACTAATGCACATGATGCTCCAGCCTCTTTTAATTAGCACAGCTCTTGGAGCTCCACTAATTAAAACACTTCCCCACGCCTCCTGGAGCATGTGTATAAATGCCCGGAGGTGCTAGATTTAATGTGCATTAACTAAAGTGTGTTAATTCACATGTAGATGTGCCCAGGCAGTAAGAAAGGAGCTTGAACCTGTATTCCAAAGCCCAGGTTTCCTCCACCAAGTCACCTGGCTGTTAGCTAATCCAGTGTGGGATTCCCTCTTTGGTTTTCACAAGAAACTCCAACCTAGGCATTAGAAAGTTTCTACCAAAAAATTAGGTCTTAACAAATTGGAATTTTTGATGGAAAGTTGTTCTGCTGGAGGGAGAAAAAACAAATGAACCCTGACAGCTTTACTATCCACCCTTGGGGAGGCTTGTCATATAGGCCTTT